TCTCTACAGTAGTTGATACAACCTCAGTACTTTGTGGAACGTCTGATGCAGGTGTTGGAGCGGCAGTAGTAGCCTTCATTGCGGCAATTCTCTTTTCCCAATATTTTCTTGCAGCTTCTTCGTTCAATATATATCTGAGTGAAAATATAATAAAACAGTTTCAATTAAAGCATACTTGGAAGTTTCGGTTTGAGCAGCAACAGTAGAAGTGGTTTCCTCAACGGCTTCAATAGCGTCAGCAGCTGGCTCTTCGAACCCAGAAGCTTCGGTTGTTTCCTCGGGGATGGCGTAAGCGTTGGAAGTAGATGGTTCAGCAGATTCGGTCACGTCAGCAGCTGGTTCTTCAACAACTGGAGCTTCGGAAGTTACTTCAGGAACAGAGTACACGTTAGAGGATTCGGAAGTGGATGGTTCAGAAGCTTCCGTAGTTGGCTCTTCTACGACTTGCGAATCTTCGTCAGAAGTTGTTGGTACGTAACCGCTGTAGAAAGCAACGGGTTCTGGTCGTTCTTCAGTTTCTTCATCTTCTTCCAAATCTTCGGATGGCTTATATCCTTCATAAACAGCCTTGGGTTCGATGGTTTGCTCAACAACTTCTTCAGCAACATCAGCAACTGGTTCTTCAACAACTGGGGCTTCGGTAGTTTTTTCAAGAACAGCGTATGAGTTGGAAGCTTCAGAAGTACTTGGTTCAGGAGCTTCAGTAACATCAGCAGCTGGCTCCTCAACAACTGGAGCAGTAGTAGTTACCTCAGGAACAGAATAAGCGTTAGATGATTCAGAAGTTGTTGGTTCAGGAGCTTCGGTAACTTCAGCAGCTGGTTCTTCAACAACTGGGACTTCGGTAGTTACCTCGGGAACAGCATAAGTGTTGGAAGCTTCAGAAGTAGTTGGTTCAGGAGCTTCAGTAACATCAGCAGCTGGCTCTTCAATAACTGGAGCAGTAGTAGTTACCTCAGGAACAGAGTAAGCATGAGAGGATTCAGAAGTTGTTGGTTCAGGAGCTTCGGTAACTTCAGCAGCTGGTTCTTCA